CTCCTGAGTAGCTGGGACTACAGGCATAAGCTACCACACTGGGCTAAGTTTTTCTATTTTTTGTAGAGATGGGGGCCTCAGTCTTGTTCAGGCTGGTCTCAAACTCCTGGCCTCAAGCAAGTCCTCCGCCTCGGCCTCCCAAAATGCTAGGATTACAGGTGTGAGCCACGGCGCGCGGCCCCTTTCTCATAATTTAATCAATGACTTGGACAGGAAGAAAAACAGAAGGCAGGTTTATTAAATTTATGGATGATAACCTGATGGGATAGTGAATAATGCTGGTGGCAGAATAAGAATCCAGAAAGTTCTCAAAAAACAAGCTAATGATGAAATTTACCATGGCAAATAGAACTTGTACTTAGACACCTAAATATACAAGCATCAGATTAAAGACTTTGTATAAAATACTTAAAGGTTTTCACTTGACAGTAAATCTAACTGTAGAAAACAATGTGATGCCAGAACTTTTAAAAAGGACATAAACTTAGAATCTGTCCACAGACACATGATTTCAGGTTAGTGAAGGAACTAAACTAAAATGTATGGACTTATGAGGAAAAGCTAAAAGGAACCATTTCATCTGAAAAGAGTTCTGAAAAACTGAGCAGGAAACTGTCTTCAAGGATCTGAATATCAGCCACGTGGAAGAAGAATGGAATTTTCTTGCTGATTCCTGGGCCCCACCACAGAAATTTGATTCAGTAGGTGTCGGGTGGCATGCAGGCATCTGTTTTTCTAACAACTACCCAAATGGTTCTAAGGTGATGTTTCCATGGGTCAAACTTAGACAAACATCACACTGTATGTTCTTTGCTTTGCAGAGAGACAGACTATTAATGTCTTAGCTTAGAAACTCACCTGGCGAGAATATTTTAGAAGGGATGCAGCTATCGATTAGCTTGTTGAACTTTGGGTCCTTTAAAGGTAAGTTCCAATCCAGAGGTTCTGTTATCGTGCAAAAGGGCACTCAAGCAATATACTCTAAATGAACGGTGGACTACTTACCTACTACCAGAGGAGACTTGGGTTCCAGTCCTGATTCTATCACATACTCACTGTGCACCCCGGGACAATCATTTTACCGCTGTAGACCCTTTTCCTCATCTATACACGTAACAAAGAAAGAAGGTTCCCCTACAGATGACCTGTAGCATCCCCTCCAACTCTAATATGTGATTCAATGGCAAAATGGCATTTCACAAGAAAGTATATGAGTATAAACCATATAATTCAGGTGGTACACGTATGCTCAGAAAGGATTTCGTCTCCACCGGGCAACTAACAGATGGGTAAATGATTTCACCAAACAATATGGACTGAAACCAGAGACACTAGTGTCATTTTCTGCCACGAGAAATTTAACTATCAATTAATACTCTCTCCACTAGTCAATAGACTTTAAAATTCAAAGGTGCTCGGATTCCAAATCAGCATAACTCAGGACACAAGCACACAAACACACGGGATGTAGGAGAGTCGAGCGCACCAAGTCGTCCACCAAGGACGCTCGCCTTGTCATTAGGAAACATAGAGAGACTCCCGAGTTTGCAAAAATGAAAAATTCTGGGGGCGGGGAGACAGAGGCCCCTACCCGTTCACGCAAGCTTGTCGCTTCCTCGCGAGGCGCTGGTCACCTTGGGGCACCCTCCCCCCCAGGCTCTGAGGGTTCCAGGGGCGAAGGGCACGTGCCGGGCCGCTCATCCGGACACAAGGTCTTACCCCGGGCTCGGCAGCTCGGCAGTCCTCCCTTGGGGCTGGGGCCCGCGCCCGCGCGGGAAAGGGGGTGCTCAGCCCGGGGACTCACCTCCTGGTCCTCGTTGGCACTCATCGCGCCGGTCGCCGGGCGCCTCCCAGGCGGACAGCGTTCGCGACAATGAAGAAAAAGCGAGGGCAGTGGCCCCGAGGCCGGGACGTTCCCCTTCCGCGCCTCGGCTGCGGGGGCGACACCCACAGACTCGAATCCCGGGCGCCCCGGCCCTCGGCTGCCCCCAGCCGACGGCGGTGGGCTGCGGGCCCGGAACCAGAGGCCGCGGCAGGTGGGTCGCCCGGGGATTTCGGGAGAGGCTGCAAGGTGGTAATGGCAGAGGCTCCACCCCCTTCTCCTTCTAGCTTCTCCTATTGGCTTCTTGTCTCCCCGCCCCCAACTTTTTCTCCTCTTGGAAATGGAGCGCCTTCCTTACGTGTTGAGGAGAGGCGTAAAGTTCCGGGACAGCGGTTGGTTTAGAGCTATGTCACTCAGGCCCAGAAAGTACTTCCTGTGTCAGTGGAGGTGGGAACAGGGAAGTCAAACTTGCTGGAGCCTGCTGTGGGGTTGTGTCTGCAGGGACGGGCACAGTTGCTTCGAGACATCCCTGTCTGCCTCCCCTCGTCCTGTCCGGACTGGCGGCGACCGGCCACAGCTGCAGCGAGCCCGGGACGTGGGGCCTGGGTGAGTCCTGGCCCGGGGGCCTGTGTGGCTAGGCGAGACAGCCGAGGAAGAGAGCTAGCTCTTAACAGTGCTGGTTTGGGGGCCTGCGTTTTCCTACCTCGTCGATGGGTGCAATCCTGGCACTTTTCCTTCAGCCCCAAAGAAAAGCCGCACCTATTTCTAGGGCTTCGCGATTTAAGATGAGGGGAAGAGAGGAGGAAGATTTCGTCTTTCTTTAGGGCTGCAAGGTTATTTCTCCTCCTTTCCTCATTGGAGCTACTACAGCAAAATACTGCGACCCTGGGGACGGTTATCTTTTCCTACGTTGGGTGGTTGCTTCACATCCTCAACACAAGCTCCCCCACCCCCCACCATTTCGGCCCCAAACTGTCTTTCCTCTTTTGATCGTTTTGTAGTTGGACAGACATCTTTGAATCCAGTTCTTAGTAGCCTTGTGTCATACATCCTGAATCTCCAGTTCATTAAAAAATAGTAGCCACATTATTTTTTATTTGCTACTTTAATTGGGTTACTTTTCTTATATTCCATGACAGCTTCCAGATTACTTCCCTTGCACTACTTGACCTCCCATCCAGTATTCACTGTCTATATCTGCACCTTCTATATCTGTGTCATAGTTTCGTTGGTTGCTACATTGTTTTCTTCCAGGAGACCTGGAAATTTCTCCTTCCCAGGCAGTCATCGGGATCCATTCAATCTCTGCACCTGTGCTTTATCGCTGTTCTGCCCATTCTCATCCGTTTGCTGCAGAATAAGCACAACCATTTCAAGTGCTAAAGCTTTTAAGAGAGAATGTGACAAGAATTTCTGATACAATTTTCATGAAGTAATTTTGGAACAGATTTACCATAATTTGGAGCTGTGCTGTTTAGTACGATAGCCAGTAGCCACATGTGGCTATTGAGCATTTGAAATAGGCTAATCTGAATTGAGATGTGCTACGAGTGTAAAATATGCACCAGATTTGGAAGACTTAGTACATAAAAAGGCAAAATATGTCAATAACTTACATTAATGTCAATATAATATTTTGGACATATTGTACTGGATTAAATAGAATATTATTAAAATGAATTCCACGTGGTTTTTTTTTTTTACTTTTTAATGTGACTGCTAGGAAATTTTAAATTATTCATATGGCTCATACTGTATTTCTGTTGGATGGCACTGATTTTAAAGCGTTATAAGTTCCCCTTATTTCCACCCCATATTCAAAGACTACAGCTATTTCTTTTTTTTCTTTTTTGATTAATTTTTTTTATTATGTCCATTTTTAGCTATTTTTTTTAAGCCTCTGGGGTTATCAAGGGAAATGAGCTCTTGTCTGCACTCTGGTATTAAGCAAAGTTACCCATACTGTATTTTGACCATCTCTTTTTTTATTTTCAACCCAAATTCCCTAGAACTAGAATATTTTTCTGAGCATGCAGTTCTTTGCCCTCATAACTTAATCCTGTGCTAAAAATGTTTAAATAATTCTAAAACTTCTATCTGTTGTAAACATGTATCGTTTCTGGCAAGGTTTCCAAATCATTTATTCAATACCCATGTTCTCTCAGTACACCAAAACCTTAATAGTCTTTACTAAATTAACCTTTCAGTTAAAAATATTCCATGTTTTGGGGATCAAGTGTTAGCCTAAGTGCACCTCACTTTTCACAAAGATTATATTTGAATTCTGTATAATATACTGATGGAGATTACCTTTTAAAAGAAATTATCAGGTTTAGGCTGGGCACAGTGGCTCACGCCTATAATCTTAGCACTCTGCGAGGCCAAGGCAGGAGGATCACTTGAGGTCTGTAGTTCTTCTAGACCAGCCTGAGCAAGGGTGAGACCCTGTCTCTACTAAAAATAGGAAAAATGAGCTGGGCACAATGGCATGCACCTGTAGTCCCAGCTACTCAGGAGGCTGAGGCAGGAAGATCTCTTGAACCCAGGAGTTTGAGGTTGCAATGAGCA